GTCAGCAAGTTCAACAGCTCAGCGCTTTAACCTGCTCGGTCACCGGGGGCTCCAGGGGTACCATATTAGTTAGGGCTATTTTTAATAGTAACTCTCAAGCTACCAAAAGCTATATTTATGAGACACCAAACAATCCCCGTGGTTGTCGGTTAAGTGGGAGCCTATTGTACTACGAAATTGCTTTGATGACCAGCTGGCCCAAGATATCTGATTAACCCTGCATGGATTCTCATCAAATCTGCAATGGTTTCCAAAATGTCTTTTTAATTAAGAAATTTTTTAACAAGAACTAGAAACATTGGATTTTTTAAAACAGAAAGTTTTGTGGCAGTCCTTTGTTTACTTAGATGAAAACCATCTCCAAATCATTGAGCTTGCAAAATACAACTAGAACTCATTTTCTGTTGTTTACTTAAGAAGCTGCTCTCGTTGCTTTTGTTGACTTATGGACAAAAAGATTTGAAGCTAGATGTTACATGATATGTATGCTAAAGATTAAGAAAACATGATCGCTCTTTATGTTTCTAATTAATGTTTCTATTTTTCCACAGGTGTGTTGTGCAGCCTTTCTTATATTTAAATAAAATTAGCATAGAGGGGTAAATTTGTTGCCAGTTTACATCCAGTGTTCTGACAGAATGAACACTTTCTTTCTAAAAGCAGATACAGAACTATATCAAGAAAAAACCTCATAGGTCTATGAGTCCTGCTTTGTTTTTATTCGGCACATACATATTTATATGTTTTTGTCTCTCCCATATTTTATCAAACTGAGAATCTAACTTATCGCAGATGGGGAAAATTGGAAATGTGAAAGATATGGGCCTCCTCTTCTCCAGATTCCTGGGCAACTTTTTCAATGCAAGAAAGGAAGAAATAAGCACCAATTAAACCAGTGGTTCCCAACCTTTTTTATCAGGAACCACTTGACCAGGGACCATTTGATCAGGGACCACTTGACCAGGAACCACACAACCAGGGACCACTTTGAAACATTACGGCAGAGTCTCGCTTATCCAACATAAACAGGCCAGCAGAATGTTGGTTAAGCGAAAATGTTGGATAATAAGGAGGGATTAAGAAAAAGCCTATTAAATGTCAAATTGCATTATTATTTTACAAATTAAGCACCAAAACATCATGTTTTACAACAAATCGACAGAAAAATCTGTTCCATACAAGGTAACGTTATGTAGTCATTACTGCATTTGCAAATTTAGCACCAAAACATTACAATGTATTGAAACAGCTGTGGATCAGGCAGAATGCAAACCACATTGGATAATAAAGAACGTTGGATGAGCGAAGGCTGGATAAGCGAGACTCTACTGTAGTACCAAAAGGGTTGCAAATCAATTTTTGGTCAACTTTAGATTCGGTTTGGTTATTTGGGGTACTGATTCAGAAAATTGCATTGGATAGACCACATCAGCTCTAGTTTCTGATACAGAACATATGCCACCTAATAGTCGCCATCTGCTCACCCACAGAAAAACATATTTAATAAGCATCAGCACTATAAGAGAGTTTCACTACACCAGTCACTCTCGTTGCAACAGTGTTGTAACAGTGAGGCTGCAGACCATATTTTAGTTCTTGGGCCACAGGTTCGGAACCACTGGATTAAACCCTTTAAGGATCTTGCAGTATTTGAATCAGGAAGGGTTATTAAGGACACCATAAAATAATTTCACCAATTAAGATCATATTATGACTAATATATTTACAGAATAAACTAGATTAAATTTTTCATAATTTATTAACACCACATATTTGGAACCGACTGAACATGTTCCAAATCCCTCATTAGCTGACCGCTTTCTAAAACTCTGAGGTGCTTCACAGCTTTCTTCTTCAAATACTGCACTTTTGGTAGCCAACAGCTGTCAGGTCGCCCAAAGACCATAAAATTGGCCAACAACCTCACCTTGGTTGTTCACCTCTCTATCTTTGATGCAGATCCAATTAAGTACATTTAGGCAAATAATATTTTAGTTAGCAAGTACCATGTACATATCCTTCCCAATATCATATAGCTGTTAAAATAATATTTTGTAAATACATTGAACACTGGTGGTATTACAATAAAGCTGTTTTAAAATGTTGCCTGAGGGCCCTTCCAGACAGGCCCTATATCCCAGGTTTCTGTTTATCCCAGCATATCTGGCAGTGTGGACTCATATAATCCAGTTTAAAGGAGAAAACCTGGAATCAGATCCTGGGATATAGGGCCTGTCTGGAAGGGCCCTGTGTTTGTTTATTTTTCTGCACATTCAAGTTGTTTCTGACTTTTGACAACCCTAGAAGCACCCTATTACACAGTTTTCTCAGCACGATTTGTTCAGAGGGAAGTTGCCATTTTTTTCCCCTGACAGCGAGAAAGCGCGACTTGTTCAAGTTCATCCAGTGAGTTTCCACAACTGAGCAGGGATTCCAGAGTCCTAGTCCACCGCTCAAAGAACAAACAATGCCAGCTTTTTAAATATATTTCACATGTATTTAAACATATCTTGATCAACACGGAAGGACAAAAATAAAAACTGATCCCTTTCGATGGTATTAAAACTTAATTTCTAACATCTATATTGAGAAAATTAGTATTGGTGTTAATTGCAATCAAGTTTGCTTCAACTTGTGATGACCCTATGAATGAGAGACACCACCATCACCACTCTAAACATGCTATTAACAGACTTGTGCTGGTTGCAACCTCAAGGTCATTGCTTCCCGGATTAGGTTAATGTGTCAAAAATATGTTACCTTCAAATTTACCTAGCATTATCATCTTTTCTAACAAGTCTCTTTACGTTGCCTTCAAATTTACTTAGCATTATCATTTTTTCTAGTAAGTCACTTGTAGATTTTGCCTTCAGTAGTATTATATTTTCCAAGTCACTTTGTCGCATGGTATATCCTTGCTATAGTCATTTCAGCTTCTTGGGAAAGTTCATTAGATTTCCTCTGGAACCCATTTATTTGTCTTTTTGGCAATCCATGGTATCTGTAGAACTCTCCTCCAGCATCACATTTTTAATGAGTTGGTTCGCTTCCTGTCAGCTTCTACTTTCAGAATCATCCAGATAAACTGGAAATACCATGGCAATTATTACTCTTACTTTGGTATTTAATGGTACATCTTTACACTCGAGGATCTAATCTAAGTTCCTTCATCACTGCCCTTCCAACTCCAAGTCTTTCTCTGATTTCTTGACTAGTTTCCATTTTGATTTACGACTCAGCTGAACTATAGAAGATATTTAACTACAGCATTCGAACTGTAATTAAACAGATTTTCCCAGGCTCAGCCAGGCCTTCAAATGCTAATGAAGGTGGTCAATTGAAACATTCACACCTAGCTCTAGCAGAGAAAAGCTCTTTGCCCCACCCCAGCCATTCCACAGATATATAAACCCATTGTCCTAATTCCAACAGACCGCACTACCTCTGAGGATGCTTGCCATAGATGCAGGCGAAATGTCAGGAGAAATGCCTCTAGAACATGGCCCTATAGCCTGAAAAAACCCACAAGAACCTTGTAATTAAACAAATTAACTCTTGTTAGTTCTATTCAGAAAGAAGCACTGGTAAACCACTTCTAAATTCCATGAAAACCCTAAAATGAGGCAATAAAAGCATCACTGATATAAACATAAATCCCAATTCTCTGCTAGTTAGTAAGAAATAAGTTCCCTTATGTCCCAAGGAAGATAAAAGTAAAGGTTTTCCCTTTACTTTAAGTCTAGTCATGTCAATCTCTGGGTGGTGGTGCTTATCTCCATTTCTAAGCTGAAGAGCCAACGTTGTCCGTAGACACTTCCAAGGTCTTGTTGCCAGCATGACTGCATGGAGCACCGTTACCTTCCTGCAGAAGCGGTATCTATTGATCTACTCACATTTGCATGTTTTTGAACTTCTAGGTTGATAGAAGCTGGGCCTAACAGTGGGAGATCATACCACTCACAGATTCAAACCGCCAACCTTTTGGTCATCAAGTTCAGCAGCTCAGCGGTTAAACCTGCTGCGCCACCAGGAATTCCCATGTCCATAAGTATTTACTCCAAAGTTGGTGTAAATGAACTGTTATTTTTTGTCCCTATAGTATTCCAAAATGGAATACACATCCTTTTCCCGATTCCTTGTTACCCTTCCAGGGCTAAATAAATAGACAAGCTTTTCACTCAACATAGGCAAAATATATTTGAGAGGAATATATCCACTGGAGGAGCAAGATATCTTTACAATCTTAGAGCGCAATGACTCTTTCCCATGGAGATATGAAGCGTGACAGCACTTGTTCCCATCAGGAAGAGGATTTTGGACCATTGGTAACCCAGCCAACTTGAATGGTGGGTATCTTCACATGAATGCGACGGAAGTGCAGATATCAGTGGGTGGACAATGGCTCCATACTTTCCTAAACACATCAGCCATCTTCAAAACATGGCTTACGAGAAAGGCATTTAAGACATTTTGAAGTCTGAGACACAGCAGCAAATGGCACTTGACTACCATCACAAGGTTGAGATAATTGCATCTAAAGCCAGATATTTTATCACAAAGCAAAAGAGTCCACAAAGGGTCCTCCTTCCTGGCAGTAAACTTAACACATCCAATGGCTTAACAGTTTGGCCTCCTTTCATCATCTCTGGAATCTCCTACCTGAGGTTGCCGCCTAATGGTAGGGCAAGCCCTGCTTATTGGCCAAGGACATGGCATCAGCAGATTGGGGAATTGCTCCCTATCTTTCATTCCAGCTCTGCTCCCCACCAATCACCAGTTTTGAAAAGACATTTGAGGGGCTGCAGGGCTTGAACACAAGCCTAACCAGCTCTAACTAGGAGAAGACACGTGGAAAAACCTTGGCTCACACAGAGACTCCCCTCCTGGGAGCACAAGAGGGTTGCCTTCAATAAAGGCTTTTCCTTTCCTCCATTTCCAAAAGAAAAAGAAAAAGAAGAGAATTTTAAAATAGTTCCTATAATATGAAAAGGAAGCCTTACCTGTAATTGGGAGCCATGCCTGCAGGATGGCAGCGATCAGTATTCCTTTCCCCTTCATATTGCTCCCCCCAAGGTTACAAGGTGGGGTGGGAGAGACTGGAGGCTACAATTTAGCCGTTAGTGGGGCAAGGAAAAGAAAAGACACCTTCACAGCCTTTGTTCTTCTCACTGTCTCCACAGGAAGTGCAAAGCCCATAAGATCTTTCAGAGTCCACCTGCTGGCAATGTGCTTGAAACACACAGTCATCCTTTTGCTCCACAATCAGGAAGCTTTCAGAACTTGGGGGCCACGGAGGAGGAGCTGCTCGATGAGTTTTGAGTTGATATTGATAGTAAAAGTGTCAAAGAAGACCATTTAAATTGCCTTTTTTATATTAGTGTGGAGATGTAAAAAAAAATCGGATTTTGCAAGCAGATCATTAGAAGACACTTGTTTTTTTAAAACAAAAATATAGAAATAGCAAGCTTAGCGTACTTATACTCTAGATCATTGGTTCTCAACCTGTGGATCCCCAGATGTTTTGGTTTTCAACTCCTAGAAATCCTAACAGCTGGTAAACTGGCTGGGATTTCTGGGAGTTGTGGGCCAAAATACCTGGGAACCCACAGGTTGAGAACCACTGCTCTATATAAATAAAAATGTAATGTTTGTTTGTGGGATTGACATAACTCAAAAACCACTGGGCGAATCGACACCAAATTTGGACACAATACACCTATCAGTCCAACAAGTGACCATCACTCATAAAAACACTAAAAACGCACAGCAAAAGAGATTTTAAAAGCCAAAATTTTAAAATAATAATACATTACAATGCATGTGCAAAACCACATATATACACATATACACACATATATACACACACAAAACACATACACAGACTGGGCCACAGCAACACGTGGCAGGGGATGGATAGTAGTTGATATTTTGCAGGTCTCTCCAAGAGTTTAGCTATAGCATGGAGCCCCCGATGGCGCAATGGGTTAAACCCTTGTGCCGGCAGGACCGCTAACCGACAGGTCAGAGGTTCAAATACGGGGAGAGTGCAGATGAGCTCCCTCTGTCAGCTCCAGCTCCCCATGCAGGGACATGAGAGAAGCCTCCCACAAGGATGGTAAGATATCAAAACATCCAGGCGTCCCCTGGGTAACATCCTTGCAGATAGCCAATTCTCTCACACCAGAAGCAACTTGCAGTTTCTCAAGTCGCTCCTGACACACACAAAAAAGGCATAGCAAGTATTCATTTCTTGCTTGTTGTTCTTAGCCACCAGCAACTTGCCCTGTGAGACACAACTGGCGTTTTCTCCTCTCCATTGAATGACCCATGACAAGTCATATCAAAATCCATAATTTTTGCACCAAAATCTGCCCCCAACATACATGAGGTTGATTTGTTCATGAGTATATATGGAAACCTATTTCATATGTGTTTAGGAGGAAGACTAAGCCACTAAGCCTGCTCAGTTTCTCTTAATTATTGCTCACTTTCTGCTTGGTGTGCATGTGAGACACACTACTATCTCTGACAGTGCCCAACAACTACAGAGGGTTGTGTGGAGCTCCTGGGAGGTCACTGAGACTGAATATCCAGAGACATTACGCTCCCCTTGCCTCCTTGTCCCTAGTTTCTACTACTTATCTCTTATTTATTTATTTATTTATTTATTTATTTATTTATTTATTTAAAACTTTTATATCCCAATCTTCTCACCTCTGTAGAGGGACTCAGACCGGCTTACAGCAAGGATTCAATGCTACTAATACAAGTTAAAACATCATACAACAATATAATATTAAAATACATATAGATAAAATACATATATACCAAATTGCCAAGGTAAAATCATGTTCAACTCAGTCCACATATGTGGTCACTCACTTTGGTCTGTAAACAGTCTCAGCCATTATTCTGGGAATGCTTCTTTCCGATTTCACTAGCCTCCTGAAGGACAAGAGGGAGGGGCAGATCTAATCTTGCTCGGGAGAGAGTTCCATAGCCGAGGGGCCACCACAGAGAAGGCCCTGTCTCTCGTTCCCACCAGTGGCAATACCCACAGGCTGAATCTTGTTGTTTGACTCCCATTCTACTCCACACATAGAATTGAGCTGGGTTGGTAAAAAATCTCAACTCAGCACTGAGAACTTATAGCATCTCCACACACACATGCACACTTCTGGGCAATAGAATAGTTTAGGACAGGCCTGCACAAAATGTGGCCCTCTGGGTGTTTTGTATTTTAGCTCCCAGAATTCCTGATTACTTGACAAACTGGCTAGGGCTTCTGGGAGTTGGAGTCCTAAACACCTGGAGGGCCACAGGTTCTGCGGGCCTTATTTAGGGCAATGTTTTCCAAACAATGGTCTTCCAGGTGTTTTGGACTTCAGTTCATAGAATACTTGGCCACTTTCCAGTGCTGTTGAGGCTTTAGGGAAGGAAAGTCCAAAACACTTGGAAGATGAGAGTTTTGGAATTACTTGGTTAGAGGATTAGGACAAATGATGTGGTGCACACAGCTCTGTCCTATAAAGAAAGGAAATGAACAGGGGGATTCAGGATGAAGAGACGAGGGTCTGTCACTGTTGGTCCCTGGTCTATACTGCCCAAATGGGTTGCCTTGTTCTTCTTTATAGTAGCACTGGACATGTCCTATATTTGTGTGATGCTTGTGCAGGGCAACCCTATGCCTGTTTCCTCAAAAGTAAGTTCTACTGTTTTGAGGGGACCTTACTTAGTATCAAATGTATTATGATACAAACCTAATGGAAGAACTTCCTGACTGTGAGAGCCGTTCAGCAATGGAACTCTCTGCCCCGGAGTGTGGTGGAGGCTCCTTCTTTGGAAGCTTTTAAGCAGAGGCTGGATGGCCATTTGTCAGGGGTGATTTGAATGCAATATTCCTGCTTCTTGGCAGGGGGTTGGACTGGATGGTCCATGAGGTCTCTTGCAACTCTTTGATTCTATGATTCTATGATGCTGTTATGATACAAACCTAATGGATACTGAAGAAATATGTCCAATTATATGAGTCAATCTTCACAGATCTTCTCTGAAGCCCCATCACAACCTTATTACAACCCTTTTAATAACACTCAAAATTACGCCACACATATCAAAGCACTCCATATACATTATCAAAGTAGTCTTCATGAAAGCAAATGAGGCTAGTACTAACAGCAGTTAAGAAGGTGAGACTAGAATATATGGAATTTCAACAATAGACTTCCAGCTACAGCTTATACTCTCAAACATTGCACAGCTTATTATCCATGGGATTGTGATGAATTAGCATTGACTGTGCACTTTCTCCAGCTGTTCTTTGTGGAACATTTATGGAGAAAGATATAACTAAAGAGTTGTTATGGTAATTCACTGGAAATAATCACATTAGTTTTTCTCGAACATCCATACGGATGGAAGAACCTAAAATGAGAGCAACCAGGATATAGACACTATCTTTGGTTGTCTGAAGAAAAACATTCTTTATACACAAAATTTAATTCAGTACACAATTTATCAGCCCTTTGGTTTTTCAAATATTTTAAACTGGTGGGAATCATTAAGCACAATTCAACCCAGAATTAGAGTTGAACCACGTTGTTTCATGGTTTGGCACACTTTAGCATAAGTCAGATTGCAATCAAAACCTTTAATATGGATTTCATCCACCGCCTGCTTTGGGGGGAAAAGAAAGAAAGAAGCTGTACTGTGTAGATCAGTGGTTCCCAACCTGTGATCCGTGGAGCACCAGTGGTCCGCAAGAACTAAAATATGGTCCACGGCTTCACCATTACTGCCGTTGTAATGAAAGCAACTGGTCTTGTGAGACCCTCTTAAAGTGCCAAGGCAACAGGGATGTCAGGAGGGAAGAGGCTGACAACCCACAAAAGGTGCGGCAATCCTCCTGACCCACAAAAGGTGCGACAATCCTCCCTACTCCTCCTCCTCCCTCCCCCTGAGCGGAGCCATTCCATGGGGTGCCTGGGAGCGGGTTGCGCCTTGGTGTCTCCATTTTTAGGCTTGTTCCTGGAGTTATTTGGGGTGCTGATTCAGAAAATTGCATTGGATAGACCACATCAGTTCTAGATTATTCAATATGGTTTTCTGTGTGCAAGCAGATGGTGACTACTGGATGGCATATGTTCTGTATCAAAAACTAGAGCTGATGTGATCTTTTCAATGCAGTTTTCTGAATCAGCGCCCCAAATAACCAAACCAAATCTAAAGTTGACCTAAAACTAATTTGTAACCCTTTTAGTACTAATGTTGGAGAGTGGTCCCTGGTCAAAATGGTCCCTAGTCAGGTGGTACCTGGTCAGGTGGTCCCTGGACAAGTGGTCAGCTGATCAAAAAAAGATTAGAAATCACTGGTGTAAAGGAAGCATTTTGGAAATATTTTTCAACTAGATGCATGTGGTGAAATGGTCCCTGGTCAAGTGGTCATCTGATCAAAAAAAGGTTGGAAACCATTGGTGTAGAGGAAGCATTTTGGAAGTATTTTTCAACTAGATACAAGCAGAGCTGCCATGCAGAAGGAAGATGCAAAAGTATATGCAGTTGGAGTGCATGCTTTTCAAATCAGAGGTTGGAGCCATATGCTATTTCAATAGTTCCCAACTTTGGGGTCTTATGTGTGGTTGTGCTTACACTCCCAGAAGCCAGCATAACCAGTAATTTTAAACGATGTGCTAGTTGTTTCACTATGTATTGCTTGCATATGTTCTTTTAAACTGGTGTTTGAATTAGGTTATACATTTTCAACTGCTTATATATGTTGTATTTTAAAATGCTGTTATTTCCCACCTCAATTCATGGGAAGAGGCAGAGGAGGAGGAGGATGAAGAGAAAAAAGAGGCATCTTTGGAAGTATAATAAAACATCACCTGGTAAGCCAAAGATTTGAATTTTGCTTAGAGATTTTAAGAAATTGGATTTTCTATCATTCCTCAATATTTGCTATGCTGAGTAAGGATAATAGAAGCTATTATCAAGCAACTTCTGGAGGAACATGCATTTTCTGTTCCTAGTTTAAAGTGTTGTTTTCAGCAGCAGGGAGAAAACATTGGGACTCTACTTAAGGCTGCATCGCATCTTGAACCACCACTGACTTAAATGGGCCTGAAGTGCCCCCTTCACTGTATTGCATTTGGAGCTCACCATCTGTTTTATGTGTTAATAATTTT